GTAATGGCAAATCAATTTCTTTTTGGAACGATTTATGGATTGGGGAGTTCCCTTTGAAACTGCTTTTCCCGAGGATATTTGCTCTTTCTACAAATAAATTGGGTACTGTAGTGGATTTTGGTAGTTTTGATTCCAATGGATGGGGATGGAATATTCAGACGAGAAGGAGTCTTTGTGATTGGGAGATTGAGCAGTTGGCAGAGTTACTGGATATGCTTAAAAACATTAATCTTTTGGAGCATTTGGAGGATAGTTTGTTGTGGGATGGTTCGGGTGAGGGTCTGTTCTCAGTTAAAGCTTGTAGGAGAGTTCTTTCTTCTTCTCTTGATGATTCTTTTCAATGGAATAAGTGTGTTTGGCAGGGTTTAGTTCCCCCTAGAGTGGAGACTTTCTTTTGGCAACTATCCCACCAAAAAGTTGCAGTGAGAGTGGAACTGTTGAAAAGAGGGGTTCATTTAGGGGATAACAATCTCTGCCCTTTTTGTAATCAAAGGGATGAATCAGTTCAGCATTTATTTATTTCTTGTGTTGTTTCTTGGGATTTGTGGACTAAGCTTTTAGGGTACTGGGGTATTCAGTTAGCTATTCCACAAGACCCTCCTAGTCTGCTCTGTTCGTGGGTTGCTTTGATGCCTAATTCTGCTATTTGGAAGTTTATTCCAGGGGCTGTTTTTTGGTCAATTTGGAAAATGAGAAATGAGTTAATTTTTGAAGAAAGAAAACTAGACAGAATTTTACTGTTTTTCACTGTTCGTTTAAGGTTAGCCAAATGGTTTTTAGCAAAAAAGTATCCCCTATTCTCTATTCAGGTAGACTCTCTAATTGGTGATCCCTCTTTGGCTGACCATTTTTCTGCTCCTAAGGTTCTGAACAACATTGTGTACTGCTGGAATCCTCCTCCGGTGTACTATTTTAAGATGAATGTGGATGGGGCTGTTTGCTGTGTTGGGATGATGGCTGGTATAGGAGGAATTCTCAGGGATTGGAATCGGGTTACTCTTCTTTCATTCTCTGAAAGTGTCGGGCCTACCACACCTATTCTAGCAGAACTTAAAGCTATCAAAAAAGGCATTGACATCTTTGTTTCTTCAGATTGGGTGTTGAAGGGCAGGCTTATTATCGAATGTGACTCAAAGACAGCAGTGGATTGGATCATTAATCAAGTTTCTGCCCCGGTTTTTCTGTCTAATTTTGTTAAGGAAATAGTGGCTTCTGTTTCTTTAATTCATGCTATTGTCAGGTGGATTCCTAGGAGTTGTAATTGTGAAGCTGACAAGTTAGCGAAGGAGGGAATTGGGTGATTGTAGTCATGGATTTAGTTGGTTTGTATGCTGTAGAGGAATAGTGTGTCAGGAGTGTTTTATGTTGGGAGTATTTGGCTGGAGAGTTCTTAAGTTTTATGTAATAGTTTTATATTTAATAAAATTATGTACTCTTTTCCTCCTTCAACTAGTTGGTTCTTGCCTATGGGCAAGGGTCTACTAAGAGGGAGGTTTTTAAAGAGGCATTCTATTCCTATCAAAAAAAAATGTTGAAGTCCCCCTCCAGTTGATTTCTTTAAGATGAATGTTGATGGAGTTGTAAGGTTTGACGGGTTGGTAGGAGGAATCGGTGTTATTTTAAGAGATTGGAAACACTTCACTCTACTGACTTTTTCAGAAAGTGTAGGTCCGGGCCCTCCACCTTTAGCAGAATTGAAAGCCATTAAAAAAGGCATCGAGATCTTTCTCTCTTCAGTGTGGGTTCCTGAGGGTAGACTGATTGTTGAAAGCGACTGCAAGTCTGCAATGGAGTGGATTAATCTCCTTCTACTGCTCCTACTTTCTTTAGTAACCTAGTAAAGGATATTGTGTCCCTTGTATCAGCTAAGGCGTACATAGTTAGGTTGATTCCAAGGGGTTGCAACTGTGAGGCTGATAAGTTAACGAAGGAGGGGATTGGGTGATTGTAAGGGTTTCTTTAGCTGTTCTTTGTGTTTTTTTGAGAGCACATGTATTTGGTGTAATATTTAAGTCTTATGTAATTTGGTTCTATTAATAAATTGAGGTACTCTTTTCCTCCTTCCGCTAGTCGTTTCTTTTTAATGAGGCCTCCTACTTTTATCAAAAAAAAAGTTAATAATTACATATTAACAAGCTATGGTGTTTGCATATATTCGAACATAGGGGTGAGAATATGACCTTCTAAGGATTCTTCAAATACATGGAAAAACTATGAAAATAATTAAACGTGTTTGTGTTAGACACATCCATATCCAAAGCTACAGCCAATTCTGAGTAACAATTACGGATATCAAGCTATGTTGCTTCGACTCCTCATTCTGCTTGAAATACTTGTTTCGGACACATATTACCATACGGGTGAGAGAGTATTACCTTTTAAAGATCCTCCAAATACATGAAAAAACTACAGAAACATTTAAACATGCCCATCTTGGATGCATATCTATATCTGAGGCTTACATCAGGGTTTAGGTAACATACTAAACGAGATTTTACTAGGAAATGGGAAAATTCACATTCCTAAAACCAAGAGTAGGTCTCCTAAAAATCAACTACCTAATAATTCATCAAAGAACAACAACAAAACACCTCAAAACAACTATAATGAACTTATAGCCAATTCTTTATTTTTCTTTAAATACTCGCCTGCACTCGTAGCAAGAGACATGGATAGAGGGATATGGCCTCTAAGAATCCTCCAATACACAGAAAAACTTTGAAAAATCTACCAATACCAGTACCAAACTAATACTCGAATTGGACACTTATACCCAAATTAGAATGACATAGACCATAGATATACCAAATTAAACTTATCCCCATCCTGTACTCATATAAACACGTAGATATGAGGATATGTCTCCTAGGATCCTCTAAATACATTATAAACCTTTGAAAATCTGGTCATACAACAACACTAGTACCTAAGTTAGAGTATAAATTGTATCAGATCAAACTTGCAACACATTCTAACCGTTAACATATCATTAAGGGAAAAAATAAAAGCAGAATTCAACATGTTCCAGATGATAAAATACCAACAACTTGAAACAATTCAAACAAAAAAAGAGAGAGAAATTTAGGCTACGAAATGAAAAAGAAATACCTAAATTGACTTTATTAACATGATGAAACTGTCCAAGTGAGCCATCTTTAGCAGAATCTTTCTTTTGCAGCTCTTTCACAGTGATTCCACCATTGTTGCCAGCCGTGTTTGATGATCCAAAACAAGGAAAACACCCACCCATAATCAAAATCCAACCAAATCAAACAAAACCCAAGATTAAAAACCCTAATTTTTACACAATTATTCAGTGATTACTCCAAACCACCTTCGCTTTCACACCTTACACCAAAAAAGGAACTCAAAATTTCCCTTTAAAACTCCTATATTTAGCAGCACTTTTATCGCCTTAAAATCTTCTTTCCTTTGGCTTCTCTCTATTATCTAAAATTCTCATTTACGACAAAGATTTGAATCCAAAGTGGCAGATCAACAAATACAAGAAAAAGATTATGTTGTCCAAGACGAAGAGAAAACAAAAGCAAAGAAGAAAGGAAAAATAATTTAATGAACAAAAAAAAAAACAGAGGCCAAAAATTAATTTACTTCAGTGGTAGGTAAATTTATTTTCCAATAATTACTCAATTTATGATTAGTTAGGTAAGTTCCTTAATTATACAGATAATTTTTTTAATTTAATAAAAAACATTTACTCATTTTCTTCGTTGCACCGAAATTAAATTATAATAAATACTTATAAGATATACAGTTATATATAATGATTTAGTATTTGGGTAAAGTAATCAAATGATCCTGATTATAGGATAATACTTTGTTGAGTCTCCTAACTATTAAAAGTTACAAAATAGTCATCTGACTATTCATATAATCCAGACTCATCATTTTCTATTAAAAATTAACGATTGTCTGAGTTGGATATTAATATGTTGACTGATATATGATAAAATATGATATTATAATCGTTTGAGTTGTATTTTGTTGATTGACTCTTCGTTTATATTATATCATCAAGCCAATAATTGAAATATTATGTTATGGAGCTAGTGCTTGAAAGTAATGACATCGTTAATAAACAATATTAAAATATAATTTTATCATATCTCAGTCAACATGTTAACATCTAGCTTAGATAGTCGTTAATTTTTTAACGAAAAAATATAAGTTTGAAATATATGAATAATTATGTGACAATTTTGTAACTTTTAATAATCGACGGACTTAATAAAACATTATCCTATAATCAAAATATTGTTTTGTAATTTTTAATAGTTAAAGGACTCAACAAAACAAGTATAATAGAAAAACGATTTGTACACTTTATCTTTAATATTTATATAACACACCCCAAACCTAATCAAACTCCCATAAATTATTTTTCTCATTAATTACTATAAATGTAATTATCATTCATAGATATAATTTATAAATAAACTTTACACAAGTACATTTCGTATTTAAAAAGAATTTTTATTTTTTAAGTATTCAAGGTGGAACAATGAATTCGTTTTATGCAAATAGAGCCGCTAATGTTACTAAAAAAGAGATATTTAAAATTACAATTAAGTTTTAAAATTAAATATAATTAAAATATTTTTCTATGATTATCGATAAATAAACTAGCCACCCTATATCATTCAAGGAAAAAGTTAAAACCCAATTAAGAAACGCAACTAAAAAACATATATGAACAAATCTGACTGCACCTACAAACGAACCATAACATGAAATTAAACTACTAAAAGACCACTAAGAACTACAAATTAAAATCGAACGTCATAATAAAATTATCTATAAACGTAAATCACGTATCAAATTCAATATAATAGTCGAAAGCAGAGAAATAGGTCAGCTTTGTTGCAAGTATGATAAAATATAATAATTTTTTCAATTAAAAGAAGGTGGATTGAAAATCTTCGGTTGGATGATATATACTACACTAAATGGACTATCGGTTTTCTATTAAAATGCTTCAATCAATTAACATTGAAATCAACACAAAGGTCATCTATTTCTCCCACGGCTTCTTCTTCCACATCAGCCAATACCAACCCTTGACTCATTCCTTTCATTTCCCTTTCCAACTCCTTTAATGTTCTCGATACCTCGGTCCCTCTCTCGAACGAGACGTTTCCGGCATAGAAAACGTATGCCAAGTCCTTAATCTCAATCCAACTGCAGCCGGGTTCCTTGTAAACTCTGCTTTGTTTCATTTTCGTCCGAAGACCATTAGCATTCTCTAACTCGCCGGCCAAAACGTATGCATTCGACAATGTAACATAAGCACCATCTACTTGTTGATTGGATTCTATTAGCTTTTTGCTAGCTTCAACAGCAATGTCCACCCTCCCATGAAGTCTACCAGCTGAGAGAAGTGTCCCCCACAACGAAGCACCTTCATCGGGATTCACTTCAATCGATTTTGCTAACCGATATGCCTCGTCAAGACGACCAGTTCGACCGAGCATATCGACAATGCACGTATAATGCTTTGCTTCTGGCACCATCTCGTGTTTCCGCGACATTGAATTAAAGTACTCGAGGCCTTCTTCTATAAGTCCGGAATGGCTGCAAGCATGCAAAATTGCAACAAAGCTAACATCATTAGGCTTTATTCTTTTATCAACCATTTCCTCAAACAGTTCAACAGACAGTTTCCCAAGTCCGTGTTTTGCAGCAGCTACAATCATGGAAGTATATGGGATCACACAAGGATTCCGAACACTCCGAAAGACCCAATCGGAATAAACAATACAACCGCATTTGGCATACATATCGACCAATGCGCTAGCAACTACATCGTTGGAGTCGTGGCCATGTCGGATCACTGCACCGTGCGCAATCTTTCCCGAAACCAACTTCCCCGAGCTTGCGCAAGCATTGATAACGGTAGTCAACATAAACTGATTCGGATTCTCCCAAGCTAAGAAATTGAATTCTCTAAAAACTTCAAGTGCTTCATCCCCTCTTCCATTCTGTGCATATGCAGCAATCATTGAAGTCCATGAAACAACATTCTTATCGTCCATCGAATCGAAGACCCGCCGAGCTAAATCGACTCGGTTGCATTTCCCATACATATGAACAAGCGAAGAGCAAACCACGAGGTTAAATCGAAACCCGAAAACCTCCACGAGGCTGTGAACTTGTCTCCCTATTCGAAGGTCAGTGTATCGAACAAGCGTTTACCGCGGTCGCAAACGTAAACTCATTCGGTAAAACCGTGGCCTTCATCATTTCTCTGAAGATCCAAAGACAAACTTGAGGTTTATTCAGAGTGACATAACCTGACATAAGTGAAGTGTAGGAGACAACATTTGGTTCAAGCATTTCATCAAACAGTTGATATGCTAGGGATGTTTGTCGTAACCTTACATAGCAGTTGATGAGATGATTAGTGATGACTGTGAGATTTAGGAGACCAGATTTAAGGATTTGAGAGTGGGTTAAGGTTGCTAAAACGAGGTCGTTGCAGTTCTTAAGGTTTTGGGTGAATCGGGTTTTTGCATTAGAGTTTAACGATTTGGTTGGACCGGAGAGATGAAGGGAGTTGAAGGCTGAAGCGACAGTTTGGCTTAACGGCTTCGTCATGTCATTCGGCTCTTCAGTCATTACTTCTTTTTTATAACGAAAATATAAAGTATCGAATCCATACCATCTTAACCATGTACATGTGCAAGCAAGCAGAGGTGTTCAAGATAGATTAATCGTATTATTTAATTTAAAATTTACACAATTTTTTTAATACTTTTTATATAATATTTACATAAAATATTTTGGATATCAAGTGACACTCGTCTAAATAAGTGTGGTTCCGTCAATATTAAATAGAATACATATTATTAAAATAAATAAATTTATGTAAATTAAAATTTATATATTAAATAACTTTTTATTTATTATTATATAAATTTTATTTTTAAGTTAATGGTTCGACAATTACTTTTTCCCCCCTTTTTAGTAGAAGCTACATTAAGAATTAACATTAAATATATTCAACGACATACTCGTGAAGCTCATTGTATGCAAAGAGAAATAATGTTCTGTTGTCGACTTCATTTTCTTTCTTCTCAGTCTCTCAATTTTGAATATTCACCACCGGTTTTGTGGTGATGTAGTTATAGGACTATGTTCAACAATAGACTTATTTCTCATTTTATTGGAAAGTTGATTATGAACTTAAATTATACTCGTGATTTTGGATTCATTTGTATGCAATATGATAGATTGTTTTATATAACGACAAATATATGATTTTATATTAGAGGGAGTGGATCTATAAAATTTTAAGGGAGGATAAGCTTGTAAATTTTTAGGGACGAAAACATATTATAAATAAAAAAATAAAAACAAAAAAATCTAAAACATATGATAATTTGAAAAATTTAGGCACCTATTCTCCCTCGATCCATTCCTAATTTCATATCGGTTTATTTTTTTATTGTTGCTCTTAATAAAACTTTGACCATAATAAGGGTTCATTACCCTAAAAGTGTTATAGTTATGATTTTGGCTATTCTATTGTATTGTGTTTAGTGACAATGATGAAAGAAAAAAATGCTTAATGATGATAGATATGTGACAATCAATTTAAAAAATTACTTTAGAATTTCATTTTATTGGAAAAGAAGACTTTAACGTACCGCCTTAGTTTCAACTTTTATGAAGAATAGAGGAGGGTAGTGAGTTTAATGAAATTGAATTAAAATTCAGTGACTATATTATAAGTTTTATAGGTTTTATGACTAAAATTCAATCTTCATAAACATTTAGATATCATTATGTAGTTTAACCTAAACTATATTAATTTTAAAAGAGAAAATCGCCTCAGTGACCAAAAAAAAGTTATAATATACGATTTTAACCAACTTTTTTTGGATTTGCCAAAATGACCAACAAATTCGCAACGCGAAATAAAAATCGCAACGCGATCCCCAGAATCGCAAATCAGTTTCCAAAATCGCAACGCGATTCTTGAAAATCGCGATGCGATAGTACAAATTCGCATTGCGATTTTCCATAATCGCAACGCGAATATGAAAATCGCAACGCGAACACATAAATCGCAACGCGTATCCGTAAATCGCAACGTGTATCCGTAAATCGCAACGCGTATGGGTAAATCGCAATGCGTATCCGTATATCGCAACGCATATCCGTAAATCGCAACGCGTATCCGTAAACCGCAACGTGTATCCGTAAATCGCAACGCGTATCCGTAAATCGCAATGCGTATCCGTAAATCGTAACGCGTATCCGTAAATCGCAACGATAATCCGTAAATCGCAACGCGTATCCGTAAATCGCAACGATAATCCGTAAATCGCAACGAGAATCTGTAAATCGCAACGATAATCCGTAAATCGCAACGAGAATCTGTAAATCACAACACTGAAATTTTGGGTATATAACACTGAAATCATAAACTAAATCCCTAAATCGCAACTCATTCCATCTCCATCTATCACTCTCTCCGGCGACATCCGTTCCTATATCCAACGACATCCTTCCCAATCCGGCAACAGGTTTTAGTTTCGCAGCTCGTCTGTTTAGTAAATTAATTTACAACCATGAAATCATCTAATGTTGATCATGTTTGGATAGATTTGTGTTTTGGAGGGTCATGGGATAATGTTCATGGTGTTTTACAATATATGCCTTTACCCATGAATCTTCAACTAAAATTGTCTTTACAAAAGTTAACTTATGAAACTCTAATGCTACGTGTTTCAAATAAATTGAATTTAGAGCCCCTAAGTGGATTTAGGCTATCTTATCAGAGAAATGGTAAAGTTTATTTGTTAACCGACAATGAAGATGTTGAACGATTCATTGCTTACATTAGTGTTTCACAAGATGATGTTACATTGTATGTTGTTGAACCTAGAAGTAGTATTGTTGGGTCAGTAGCGGGTAGTAATCAACTAAGTTTTTCTCAAAACCCACAACCTTTCTCTAATCCAAATCCCAATCAACTTTCAGCACCAAATTCCGGTTTTCGTATTGACCAGTTAGACGATGATGAGCCAACAGAAAAAATTGTGAGTACTAGTCAGTATTCGAAATTTGGTCTTGGTCAATATCCGGACTTTGATATTGGTCAATACACGGATTTTGATGATGTTTCAGAAGAAGAAACAGACCATGCGTGTAATGATATTGATATTGGTCAATACCCGAATTTTGATGATGAAACAGCCGTTGCCGAAGAATGTAATGTTGATGATAATGAGGAGGAAGTTACGACTGTGAATGAACATGTTGAACATCCATTCTGTAATTCATATAATCCTGAAGAAGAAAAAGAAGAAGAAAAGTCCCCGAAGAAAAGAAAATGCCACGGGCGTATAACTGGAATATGCCAGAATTACTTCAGATACCGGAAGAAGAGTTGATAAAGAAAGCAGTTGATTGTTACACAAAAGTTATTCGTATCAAGAAAGATGATTGTTTTGATACAAAGGAAGACTTGAAGATAGCTTTATATACGAAATGTGTGGAAGATGGCTATCAACTAAAAGTTAACAAATCAAGCAAAGATCGTTTCGAAACAAGGTGTATGATTGACAAAAACTGTACGTGGCGTATGATTGCAAAGAGAATAAAAGATTGCAAAATGTTTCAAGTTAGGACTTTTATTGATAAACATACATGTTCAAGAACCCAAGTTTTTCCTCACCATAGACAGGCAAACAAAAAGGTGTTGGGTGGTTTTCTGGCTGAGTTAATGTTTTGAATGGCAGGGTATATCGGGGACATGAAATTATGACTGACATGAATGCTCGGTTCAAGATTAGTATATCATATTCTCAAGCTTGGAGAGCCAAATGTTATGCCTTGGAATTGTTGAGGGGGTCGCCAGAAGCATCGTTTGCCCAACTGCCGGCTTATTGTCACAATTTAAAGATGAAAAATCCTGGGTCGGTAACTCATATCAAAACAGATAGAGATGGACGCTTTGAGTTGCTGTTTATCGCCATTGGTGCTACGGTTAGTAAATCAATATAATTTTGTTGACTCATTTTTGTTAGTTACATGCATTTCACATTTAAATGATTATATTCTTGTGTATATTATTTTGTAGATTCGTTCGTTTATTACTTGCATGCGCCCAGTTATTATAGTTGACGGAGCACATTTGAAAGGTCGATACCTTGGAGTAAACTTATTAGCAGTAGCCATGGATGCTAACAATGGGATATTGCCAATAGCTTACGGGGTTGGCAAATCTGAAACCTCTGATTCATGGACATGGTTTATGGGGCATCTTAGGGATTGCATAGGTCCTATTAGCAATCTGACAATCATATCCGATAGGGCAAACTCAATTGACAACGCTGTTAGAAGGTGTTTCCCAGATGCTTTTCATGGACTTTGTGGTGTTCATTTGTATAGAAATCTAAAATCAAGGTCTGCTGGTATAAAAAAGCACAAATGGACATACTGGAAGGCTGTAAAAGCTTATCGGGAAGTGGATTTCAATAAGCATATAAATTGTTTAAGACGTGTTTTGCCTCAGTGTGCTCAAACACTAGAAGATGTCGGGTTTGAAAGATGGTCAAGAGTACATCAACTTGGAGCAAGATATGGTTTCATGACGTCTAATAGTGCAGAATCAATCAACGCTCTAAGTGGTCATTCCCGGAAATTACCCATTACTATGTTAATGGAGTTTTTTTCGAGCCTCTATTCAACAGTGGTACTACAAGAAAAGAAACCATGCAGGTATTATTTCTTTGAATTCGTAACTTATCATATTTATATATTTTACTAAGTATTGTTTATTTAAATTTACAGGAACATTGGAACATCGTGTTACACCATGGACTGAAAAAAAGATAACGAAACGTGTTGTGAAGTCAACGTCATGGAGAGTTGAACCATGTTCAAACACTTTGTTTCAAGTACTGGATAATAACTTAAATGGGCTAGTCGATCTAAATGCAAAGACGTGTAGTTGTATGAAATGGCAAACATCTGGTTATCCGTGTGGCCATGTTATAAAAGTTGCTCTTCATTTAAACCAAGATGATTCAAGCGCATACGCTATGGATTGCTACACTACAGAAGTTTATCGACAGACTTATGCCGAGATTGTCTACCCTATTCCACATCCTTCTGAGTGGGACATACCAGATGACTTACAAACAGTTTTGCCACCAGCCATGGACAGAAGGCTACCTGGCCGACCAAAAAGTCACGATCGTATACCGTCTAAGGGTGAAGAGAAGAAGAGATCGACATGTAGTCGGTGCAAGGAAAGTGGTCATACAAGGTTGACATGTGGATCACCAGTGCCATCAAAATCATCTTTCCTCTACCAAAATATGGATCCTCATCAAAATCCAAAGCTCATATGGTGTCAAGCAAAAGGCAATCATCTTTAAAATCCCAATCACGATTGGCTTCACCTTTTGAGACTGTTAACTTAGGTGATTTTAAATGCAAACGTTGTATTATGTGGATTTTATGTGTGAACTTTTAACATTTTCAGTTGAATTAATGACTCAGGCCAACCATTTTGACTTAACCAACTCTTGTTATTCAGTTGTTATCACTATTAGGCATGCATTTGACTATCGCAACACGGAAAATACAATCGCAACGCGAAA